GGTCTGGCATCACTATCCACTCTTTGCAGGGAGAGATGTTCTCCTAACAGTAGCTCCAGGCTGCTCTATGCAGGTGTTCAGTATGCAGTACTTCAACCTCATTTTTTCATGGGCAAAAAAAGGAGTTAGCCACTTTCTTTGCTCTGTGCCATATGAAGTTAGCTAACTTGTGCTTAACCCAGGACAGTGCAGCATTCAGAATGATGCAAGGAGCTTGCAGTTAAATGTCACATCCTGCCTGGAGGGTGCACTGCAGTGCCTTGTCTCCGCAGCTTGTGAAGTCTGATAGAGGGCATCATTCGGCTTTGGGAAGGTGAGCTAGCCCCATGGTATGGTTCTGTAGCCCTCATGCACCCTCAGCCACCCAAGTGTGCATGTGCTCTTCTCCACTTCTGCCAACCTGAGCATGTCCAGAAACTCTCTTCCACAGGTTTCTGAGAAGCCTGCCTTGATGAAACAAACAAAACCCAAATGGCTTTTGAGTTTTCCAAGCTGTTCGTGAAGACAGAGGCCGAGTGACGGGCAGGCAGGTCTGTGTCACTGCCTCTGGCTTCCCCCAGGTATGGTGGAGAGTGGAGGTGCCAGGAGCGAGCATGGAGAAGCAGTGGGGGCTGCAGTGCTGACAGACCTTTTGACTGGGAAAGTGCAGTCCCATCCCTGCCCCATTGAGCACAGGTTTTCGTGTTGACATAGGTAATGCAATTTAGAGTCCCTGTTGCAAATCGAGTGCTGGTACAGTTAGTATGGCTCCTTTCTGTGCAGACAAACAAGATTGATTGGTTAGGAAAGCCATAGCTTTTTGTGAGGCTTCTCACTAAACACGGAGCCAGGAGAAGAAAGAGCAGTGCCATACATAATTCATGGCAGCTCAAATGTCGGTGTTGGAGCAGTACAATCCCCAACAGGCATCAGATTGGGCAAGCAGCCAGTTTTGGAGTGAGACAAGGCAGTTGGTGAGTTACAGGGCAGCTCACTGCAAGTGCACAGGCCTTTAGCTGTGCCACAACTCCCACCAGGCAGAAGCACCTCCCAGGACACTAAAACAGATGGCAGCTCTTCTCATGCCTCTGTTTGGTGTGCCTGTTGCTCACAGAGGTCTACAGTGTTCTGGTGTGGGGGTGTGTTTGTGCTTGTGAACTAAAAATGTGGCATTTCATCCTGTGATAGTGCCATAGCCAAATCCATTGTTACCAAATTTGTGGCCAGTATACTGCGAGCAGCTTGTCTTTTGATTACAGTTGTGATGACTTTGACAGTTAGAAAAAGTGAGGCTTGGAGCCTGCTTTCTAGGCTCCTCAGAGTGGTTTGTACTGTATGTCGTGGTAAAAAATGCATATGTGTTTTTAAACAATTAATGCCAGTGGATGTTGTCTCCATGTAGAGACATAGTGTTGATACACTGGTGAGATTAGTTTGCCATGCAGTGCAAAGGAGGACAGAAACAGGACTGATGTGTTGGGAGCCAAATCCTGCTTCGTGTTCCTGGGTTAGTTCAGTGACGTTGCATTAGATGTATGGCTGGCTCCAAAGAAGGGGAATTCGTATGACATGGGTCTCAACTTGAGCATGGCAACTGAATGAACGTAAGTGCAATTGTGTCTGCTCCAGTGTCCACCACAGCCCTTGGTATGCTGCCCCAGCTGAGGTTCTCTGAGGGCAGGTAGGCCAGCAGGAGATTCAACCTAAGTGCGAACATGTAGCAAAAGCTGTGAGGTCACTACTACGTAGAGCAGAATGACCAAGAAGTGTAATGACCGTGTTAAGTAAAGGATAAAACCAGGCTGCTGAGAGCCAGCGGTAGCTCAAATCCAGCCAGTGCTTGAAGTGCTGGGCTTCGGCTGTCCCACAGCACCTTCCCCAGGGGAGGGACTGCTCTTTCCCCACATTTGGTGCCACTGCAGCCTGTGCTGCCTGTGCTGTGTTGCTGGGCAGAGCTGCAGAGAGGTTAAAGCACTGCTGAGCTGAGCAGGAGCAAAGACGACCTCTGGGCAAGATTATGTTACAAATACAAACACTGACGTATGGTCTATGTGTGTGTGCAAGGTACTTGCCCAATAACAGTGTTGAAAATGCTGTGTAATCAGCCACGACCCCCAGCCTGTGCAGGCAGGCTGTGAGGGTTGTTGACACAAGCTGCCCTCAGCTCTGGGAAAGCTTCCAGTCTTCCTGGGAAGGGGCAGCTTCTGTGAGTGCCACACGTGAGGGCAAGAACTGCTTTCCTCAAAGCTTGGCTGCCCTCCCAAGGCCACCCTGATGAAGCTGGGCAGGGAACCACCATGGAGCTGCTGGGACTGAGCAGCCCTCCTCCTCTCCTGCGGGACACTCATTAAGGGACAAATGCTCTGATTGCAGAGTAACCTGGGAGACGTTTCCCAACTCCTGTGCAAGGGCAGGCCTGAGGAAAGGGCAAAGCTGTCCAGCAGGTTTCCCCAACACACTACTCAAGCTCTTAAAATTCACCTACCTGAGCAGCACTTACTATATGCGTATCACCAAGGGATATATGCATAGATCTAAGAGCCGATCAGCCCCAAACCAAGCTGAGAAGTGTATTGTCAACAAAGGATAACAACAATAGCCTCACTTTAGTCCTAAAAGGAAGGTCTGGGGTTCAGCTGTAGGAAACTACTAGGACATCAAGGCTGCTCCTTCCAAGGGATAGAGAGTAAAAGTAGGTTTGAATTCAGCTGTAAAAGCACTAGTAATTAAAAATAACAGTGAGGGATACTTCTGTGGATGAGTTAAAACCCTTGGCTATTCTTTTCTCCCTATCATTTCTTCTAGGATAACTGAAAAGTCTTGTATCCACGCAGAAGTCAAAATGTATTCTTTTATTGAGGCGGCCCAATCTGTTTCTTCCCACTGTGTCACAGGATGGCACCATTCACCCTTACAACTACCCAAGGTGCTTTCCTGCTTCATAAAAAAAAAAATAAAATACTTTTTAAAGGCTGACTTGTTTTAGAGAGAGGGATTTCTGATGTCTCGGTATTGTAATATATGAAAATATAAGAGACAAAAATAGCAAGTTAGAACATGTCGCCCTGAAGCAGCAAAGCTCATGGATGCTGACAGAGCACAGAGATAAAAGACGCTTTGCACTGGTTATCATTGAGTGAATGTTCTTGTAGGCAAATCCTTTGTTATCAGAAACTTTCTATGACAGTCACAACATAACTTGAGAAGCACAAACTCTTCTGGAAGTTTGCAGTGCGGTGGAAGAAGAAAAATCCATTGGTAGTGACACAAGTCAAGAAGCCAATTCTTTATTAAAAAGATCCTTTAAGTGTACCTTTCAGTACAGACTTACTTGCTCCACTGTGGCTTTGAGTTGATGAAGATGAACAAACATTAATAAAGAGAGGCAAATTGGACACCTCTATAAAATTAAGTAGATGAATTATGGATACTGATTACACCAAATATAAACATCAAACCACAAGAATTATACACAGTCCTAAGGCTAACTATGTAACAAATGTATGCAATTGCACTTAAGTCTGTAGGAAGTTGACACATACTGCTGCCCAAGCACTCCATATCCTAGGTCAAGAAGACACCCACTGGGTGTCACTGCATTGAGAACAACACTTTCAGAGCCAATACCCAGAGTGTTGCTATGCCATACATTTAGCTTGTTGTGAAAGTGACCAAATGGGCCCAGCAGTGCCCAACTGAATTTATTCAAGAAAAAAATATTAAACCAGTTTTACTGGTATCTGTTGTTTGTGCTTTTCCCTTAGCTAGAAACCCCAATGCCTTTGACCACAGTACATCCACCTGGGACAGAAAAGGTGATCTGATGCCCTGATCCTGTGGAAGCATCCTTTCTGCACCCACAGCCCACTCTGCTGCAGTGCCTGTACCTAGAGAGATACCACTGTTCAGGCAAGAAAATACTCTTACCAGATCCAGTGGAGTTCAGAGTCCATCCCTGAAAGGTAGGAAAAGGGACAAACACTTGTTACGGTTTGCTCAGTAGGTCACCCTTAGTGTTCAGTCTGTAATAAAAAGTGCCATTCCTTTTGTGAAAACAACAGATGCAAGAGCAAGACAGGGAGCTAGAGTAGAAACTGAGAGTCAGGTTTGTTTCATTCAAGTGCAAGATACCTCTAATGATCCTTCAGTAAAAACCCTCTCTGATAGGCAGCTGCTGCTGTTAGGATGTTTTGCTCTTTGTATGCTGGTCCCTGGGGTGTAAAGCTAGTTAGTTGCAGAGCTGCTATAGGCAGCAGGAGGCTTATTGACTAGCTAGAAGAAAACCCTGTCAATATTATTATTCACTTAAGCTTAGAGCAAAATGGCTCTTATCTTAGTTTTATTTATGTGCTGATTTATTCATGAAATTTCTTGGTACCTGCACAAATTGCCTGTTAAATACTGGTGCTCAGGTTCAGTACAGTTAGACGGTTTCACAGATTAACTGCACTGCACACTGAATTCTGTCATATCCTTTTTCAGGCACTGCCATTTCCATACTGGGAGACATCACTGCAGTCAGCAATGCTAAAGTTAGACCTGCTTTGAGCAGAAGGCAAAACTAGATGATACCCACAAGGCCTTTCCAATCTAAGTTTTTCTGTGATTGTATAAAGACAGTAATAGCAATCACCAATACGTCTTTATCTAATCATAGAATCATAGAATGGTTATGACTGGAAAAGACCTTAAGATCATCTAGTTCCAACATCTATTTTGCAAAGTTATGGGTGGATCCTTCCTCTGAGAATCAGTCAACTAGATAGGGACAAAGCAAAAAGCGCCCCAAACCTTCGATGAAAGAAACAACTCATTTCATGTTGCATGTGGATCAATGTGTAGAAGCTGTTCTAACTGCTAGCTCATTGCTCAGAGCACCTGCTCTTCATCTGCAGTGTTTTTCACTAATGACATTTAATGCCATGTCTCCAGGCTGGCAAGTATCCAGCAGCGCTCCAAAAAAAATCAGTGCTTGTCACAAACACCTCCATCACCCTTGCTATTTTCTGTCTGGATAGATGGCTATCTAGGGAACAGAAATGAACAGCATTTGGAATAGGACAGTGTCCATGGAGCTTGTCCAAAATCCCTGCAGCACCACTCAACCCTGTTTAACGCTTGACACCAAAGCCACTCCCACAGAAACTCCATCTCCAGAGTTTGACTCCAACCCTTCTCTGTTCCTGGAGTAAAATTGCTTTGGGCTGTGGTTAACCCTTTGCTACAAACTGTTGGACCCACTGTTTTAGCAGGTCACATCTTTGGCAGGAGAAAGGCTTTTCAGATATGTTTTGCAATTTTTGCCACAAAAGGGTTGTGGCAGGCTTTCCGCAGACCAAGATGAACCTGCTTTGGCTGGTAACAACTGAAAGTGCCCCTCTGCCTCAAGTAAGCAAGGCTGAGCCCAGCACTGTACCCAGCAAACATTCTGATCTCAGGTGAATCACAGAATGGTTTGGGCTGGAAGGGACCTTCAAAGGTCATCTAGTCCGACTCTCCTGCAATGAGCAGGGACATCTTCAACTAACCCCAGCCCTGGGGAAAAATCTGTGGAGAAAGGTGTTCAAGGCCAGGTTGGACAGAGCCTTGGGTGACATAATTTAGTGTGAAGTGTCCCTGCCCATGGCAGGTGGGTTGGAACTAGATGATCTTAAGGTCCTTTCCAACCCTAATTATTCTGTGATTCTATGATTATTATAAACAGCAATGTTCTTGCTACAGAGGCCTAGGCAACAGCATCCAATGCAACAGAGATTTACATATACCAGCTCACAAGTTCTTTGTACTTATAAACCAAACACACACATTGTATACACCAAGTGATGGGACAAAACCAGCGTCCTCTCTAAACACTGGTACTTACTACTGTAAGTACAACACTGCTGTGCTGGGTGCTCCTGGGCCTTCTGCCAGAGGCAAGGGAAAACACATGGAATGACTGCCTAGGCTGTATCTTGGGCTAAAATAAAAGAGCTGAAAGTAATGAAGACACTTACTTCACACTGGAAAACAAGAATCAGGCCAGGCCTCTCAAATATTTTTCCTTACTGCAAGGTTATTTCTATCAGGCCACTTCTCTTTCACTTTTTTGTTTTGTTGGTTTTTACAACTGTGCTGTTGGAAACATCCATAGATAGAATGAAAAATACCGTGACAAGCCTGAGAAGAGCCCATATTGCATTGCAACAGGGTGACTCAAAGGCCAGAGGAGCTGCATGCCTGATGTGGAGCAGAGGAAGGAGATCTGAACGAGGCACACTGAAGCAGATCTTCACCTGCTACCAACACATCACCTGCAGTCTGTGTCACAGCAGCGATACAAGCTGGCTCAGAGTGATGCCCCTGCCATGGACGCAGGCTCCCTCCAGAGAGGGAAGTAGAAACACTTCCTTTAAGTTTAAAACTACTTTCTAGTCTTTGAATATCTGAGACATACTATTAACAATACCCAAAACTTAGAAAAACTACCATATGTTGTTATAATACTCTCCTTTCTCTAGCTTACTTGCTTTGCGCATTTTACAGCCTCCTGTATACCATGAAGAGACACAGGAGATCACGACTAACAGAAATAACCTTCAGTGGAGGGCAAGAAATCCTTATATATTTATGAAATAATCTCTTCTTGTGCATCCAAAGAACCATGATTACTAAGTACTTTGAAATTAGTTGGCTTTCTTGAGGGGAAAAAAAAAGATAAAAGTTCAAGTTGATGAGAAACTCTGGCTATCAAAAACGTGCAGCCTATTCCCTCCTCTGTGCTCCTGTCAAGCGCTGGCACACCAAAGAGAAGACAGTGCAAGGGGCTGCTGTGTAGTCCACAGAGACCATACAGGCTTTGGACCCAATGAAGAAATGTTCCCATCTGTGCAACAGCATGTGACTCCAGCCTGCTCCGTCTCCTTGGAGCACGGATGATGATGATGATGATGAAGAGAGTAGCAAAGCCCTGCAAAGCAGCACTCAGAAAGTTCAGCTACACCAAATGCCACTGGCATCAGAACCTAAAAACCTCTCCCTTGTTTTTCACCCACTTCTGAAGCACAGGGGAGTTTTGAGTGGCTGCACAACAGAGGAAGACAACAAACCTGATTTTTGTCTATCTAAGAACACTGTGCATTTGTTCCCCCAAGTATTAATGTACAAAGAAGCCAGCATGTGGGTCAGACTCAGGCATACACAGCTACATGATAACGAAGGGTCCTGGGTAGTACAAGTAGGTATGAAACAATTGTGCACCTCCAGCCTTAGGTGAAAGCCCAGAGCCCCATCTATGCGAACAAAGTGATGTGCAGAGCTACTGGGACTACAGACCCAAAGAAATAGCTGCCTCAGTGCCAACTGGAATAAATAACTGCAGCAAAATGTGATCAGCCATAAGCAACAATGGGTCATTACGCACCAACAAAACAGAAGGATCTTCTATAACACTGGAAGCAAAAGAGATGGACAAGACACTGAGTCAACCTATGAACAGATGGGTGTTTTCTCCTGTAGCACACTGTGCCCAGATTATGGCAGGAAAAGATAGCTGTGGCAGGTCTTCATGCCCACCTCCCACTGGAAGCAAAACTGCGGCTGAAGGAGAAGTTGATCTCACCGTTTTTGTACTTCCCCCATGCTCCAAATGGCACTATGACAACTGTGCTGTTGTCTTCAGTGCCAAACTGTATTGCCTGAAAGAAGAAACAAGCTGTCAGCATAACTACCTTGCTTGGAAAAGGAAAAAAGTGTCTGGCTCCACATGGGACAGCATGCCCTGAGGCTGTTCCTTGCCCCTTCCCAGCCCTGACACTCCATTCTGGTGTGCCCCAGAGCTTTCCATAGGATATGCCACCATCCAGAACCCTGGTGAGAAAGTGGCCATTTCTGTCTATGCTGATCACATATTCAGCACAGGAATAAACTGCAGTTATTGTCACATGCAGTTCAGTGGATCATCAGCTAAGCAAGTTAATTGAAATGACACCTACCTGGCAAGGATGTGGCAACACCCAGGGTAAGGCAAAGGCTGGGTGGTGGCACTAGGGAATGTCTCAAGCAGTGTAGTGCAATTTACTTGAATGTGTGGTTGTACACTTCATTTTTTTAAAACCAGCCAACCAAAAAACAACAACAAGCATTCAATGCCAAAATGAGCCCTGGCATTACCTGCTCAGTGACAACGTGGGCAGCTTCAGTGGGATCATGGCACTGGCTAATAAAGTCACAGATCTCCTGACTGTTCACCATGAAGTTAATACCATCTGTAGTGAGGACCAGGAAGCTGTCATCAGCATGCTGTAACTGCAAAAGCACACAGTATGCACAATAATGGAACAAGTGCTGCAAGGCAAATGAACTGCCTTAGTTTATGCTACACTCTGTTGCAAAGAATCTTTTTAGGAGATGCTGTGGGCTTTCCTCCTTTGTGTGCAAGCACCAACAGGAACCTCCAAACCCTTGGCTAGCCAAAGGCTGCCCCTTGAATCCTCAGGTGTATCTATCAGCCACACAGACTGTGTTGCTTGTACTGGGGGAGAGAGTCTGAAGGTGCTTCCAGTTCTAGCAAGCAGCCCTCTGAATACACTGAGGCCAAAAAATGAGATCCATATATGACTCAATAAAAAAAAAGGCTTCCTTAAGGAAGGATTTCAAGGAAGACAGGATAACACTGCAGACTTCTCCCTAAGCCCCCCAAGTCTAGCAGGTGACATTTAATTAGGACCAACTAAATGTAAGTTCCCCAGGACCTGGGAGTGGCACTGCAGAAAACTAACAGAATATCAGTTGAGAGGAGAGCCTTCCTGCAAATGTGAAGGCAGATATGCTGAATACCTTCTGGGTGGTCAACTTGTTTTCTGGACAAGTAAAGTGCATGCAACTGCCTTTTTCTCCTCCCTTCCTCCTAAGAGTATAAACCTCTATGATTTTTTTGATGACAGCCCGTTCATATCCCATCTAGTTCTCAGTGATGGTTTTATATCGGCATTTACGTCAAAACTATTCATTTGACCACAATACCCAAACAGACTAACACCTTTGTATTTCAGTAATAGATATTATATGTTATCTTTCTTCCCTCATGCTATACTGTATTGTGAGAAATGGAATTTAGAAGCTGATCTGGTTGAACTTAATATCAGGACCAGATTTTCTGTCCTATTAATCTGAAATGACTTAATTAGAATTGGTCTCCAGTTACTTCACCACAAATAAAAACCAGTGCTTGGCCATCAGGTATCACCTGGGCACGTCAGGTGAATACCTGCATCAAATACCTGTGATGCCCCTTAGTCTGAGTGTTGCTGCCCCTGTAAAGCAGGACTTCTTTTACCTGAACCCTTTTTGTTTCTGGCTGGGCTATCACACCACTGTTTTTAAGATCCAAATCTCCTATGCTCCGTGTCATTGCAAGTCTACCATTCACATGAGGTTGTCCCACACTGTTCCAGGTAATGAAGCCACCGCACTTCCTAATCCTGTCCAGAGGCACAAAAGAAAAAGCAAGTATGAGTTATTGCTTCACACCGTTACCCCTGTCTTTATCTGCAATTTCTGTCACTAGTTACTGACGCAGAATGGGATATGGAGGACCTAAGCTGGTAGACTGAGGGCTGGCTTTAGCTGTTTGAAGGGTCCACAGAAGGGATGTGTCTTGGCAGGCTGAATCCTGACCTGGGCACCATAGTGCATTTCAGCAGGTCTTGTCTCTACCTTGGCAGTTTTGGACAAGTCTGAGCCAGGTAGTCACAGCTCTGTACTAAGTCCTAGAGCTATGCTGATCTTACTGCTGAGACAGTTCATACTCATGTAGGCTTTCCATGTCCCCAGTCCTCTAAATGGAACCATGTGAATTAACTGGTTCTGTGCTGCTTTCTGCCCACTCAGAGGTGATCTCAGGGCATTATGTTCAACTCTCTGCTTCCTTCCAGGCCCAACTGAACAGCAGAACACCAGCACATCCTGACTGAGGCCCTGCCCTGGGAAGCCACATCATTAGCTGACAGGTACCTTTCCTTTTCTTCTTTTCTTTCTGGAGTATGATCAGTGGTGAGTTTCATCGCCTTCCCCTTTCGACACAGCAAAGCACGACTGTCTCCCACACTTGCCACAACGAGCTCAATACCATCACGGAGCAGAGCCACTGTTGCAGTGGTCCCAGAGTTCATCAGAGATGCTATAAATGTCATATCAAAGAGAGAGGTTTTAGCATAGGACTGCCTCAAAGTACAGAACCATTTATAACAGTTCCAATTGGTAAAATGAAGACAACTTGTGCTCTACATTACCAGTAAGTAACTGCTTTTATGTTTAAACTAAATCGACATCCAAAAAAAAAGAAGAAAAAAAAAGGAAACATGCATGTAGGACTGGGGGGAGAGATAGGAATTGGAAAGGATAAGTGTTTCTGTGCAACAACATGGCTCCATGCAAAGAGGGCAAGTGGAATAAAAGCAGTTACAAGGTACAGTGGCTTTTTTTCAGCTTGCAGCCAAATGTTTATCTAGCTAGCTAGAAAAAACTAGCTCACCTCAAGTTACAGGGCTATCACCCTTATCCCTGGGCACAATGACTGTATGGATGACCAACCATAAAGCTGATGGCTCTTCCCTTCTGTTAGGTGGTGAAGTGGGCAACTGAATAATAGTAATTGTAGCTCCACATAGTTCACCAGAAGAGAAACACTTGATCGCTCCTTTACACTAGCCTGTGTCATCCTCCCATTGCTGTCAGAGTGGTTATAATCTCTGTCTGCTTTCCCCACTCTTGCCAAGAGATGAAGCATTTTCAGCCAGCAGATCTCTGGCTTTTTTAGGAAGGCACACTGCTCTCCTCGCACCCCGTCAGCGTACTGGAGGTCCCAGTGCAAAGGTGAAGCTGGATCCTGCCTCTTGCCTTGTGCCTGCAAACAGATGCAGTCAGCTGGCAGTGGCTGTCATCTGGGCAATCTGCCCTGGGCACCAGTGGGATCTGTTTACAGGGGCATAGGTGTGCACAGGGGGCACTTGGTGTTGCCTTCTTTCTCTTGCAGCTCAGCTGGCTGAATTCAGAGACCTGGGTAGCTTAACTGATGCAAGTAAATTTAAGGGCTTCTTAAGTTTCTACACCACCAGAAACTAAGTGCTTGAAAAGGAGAACTATGAGTTTGTCTTTTTTCAGAAAAGATCTGTAGTTTTATCTGCAGTGAAGGAAATGCCAGAAGAACAATCCAGCTTTCCTTTCTTGTTTGTTTTTCTGAAAGAAGCAGTCCTGTTTTACAGTTAGCATCCTCCCTTCCCCAAACTATGCAAAGGTTACCCAATGAAAGGTGCCTGGAAAGATCTGAGCTATTACAGTAAAATGTCTGGCATTTGCTATTGCCCAAAGCACATTTGTATTCACAGCCAGTGCAAATCCCCTTGAAAGGCCCTCTGTAGGTCTCCTGCATTCTGGGCTTTTCCAGTTTTTCCAGGTTTTAAAAGCAAGCCAATTCGAAAGGCATTTTGGGATAATTTAGGAATGAGAATCCCCAGTTACATTCTTGTTTTCACATCACTAACAGTTAAAGATCTTTCTACCACCACGTCAATGCAGAGCTCAGCTACAGCTATGTGCACTCCTACCTCTGGCACTGCAGCCATGACTCTGGGAGTTGGATGGATCTGAGACAGGACTGCATGTTTGAGCCCAAGGAATGCCAGCCAGTCCCGTCTCTGACCGGTTGTCAGCAAACAGTGTACATACAGCACGACCCCTGTGTACTATGGAAACAGAAATGAGAGTGCTCTGGAATTTTGGAGACCTCCTTCCCCAACCCTGCAAGGTCTCAGCACCCCCCTGTAAGTAAAACAGGGTTGGGAATAAACTGAAGTGCACAGCCCTGAAAGATGCATTGAGCCTTGTTATGCAGAAAAAGCACTGAGTTGATGAACCCAAAAAAAAAAATCACAAAACAGTCTAAACTAAGCTTGTGTTATTATTTAAAACAGGTATTATTACTGCAATGAGGTCTTGGTTTAGCTATAGACTTAACCAACATGTCAATCATTAACATCAACCACAATGACTATGGTCAAATCTTGGACTACATTATGGCTGCCATGCAGGTTATGATATTCGAACTATTTAGATGCCAGTAACTTCTGACTATTCAGGTAAGCACTGACATCCTGTTTCTAATTTGAAGCAAGGGCTAGTCCAGCACAGGATCACTTTGAGGAACATTGTGAAATCAAGATGCTAACAAGTACCAGTGCAATTAGAAATTTTAGTAGAACCAGTAAAATACCTGTTTTAGCCAACAGTTAGAAGAATTGAAATGAAGAACATATGTAAAACTATCTTTTTATTTCACAGAAAATGTTTTATTTAGACATTAAAATTAATGCAGAACTGCTACTACTCTCCCATTTCATTCCTTGGTTTTGGAGTTACGTTGAAATACATAACAGTTTCTGAAAAAGTTAAGATCTGTAGTCTTTAGTTCATAAATGACTAGAAACATTTGGATATTGAGGTGAAGCTGCACCTTTCAAGTGCAAACTCTCTAAGAAAAGAGCCATGATTACAAAATCAAGGGGTGGTACTAAAGAAAAAGTCAAGATACTGCCCAGAATTGTGGTAATAGTTGTACTGACTTGAGGTTTACATACATCTATTAGTTAAATAGCACTCCTGGAAAAAGAAATGCTGCTCATGCTTTCTTCCTTGGAACACGTTAATGATCCAGGTAGGAGTGCAAGAACTAGTAGCTTGACTTAGAAGCCTTATGTGATTTCTAGCATAGCTCGAAAACACAGGAATGATGATGGGATAACATTTCTAACACTTTACTACAACTGCTGCTAGGTTATTAAGTAATACCAAAATACGTTGCATATAAATGTTGGTTTTAATAATTAAAGAGTTTATTTTGTTTTCCTGACAATATCACTATAAAACTAAGATCTTTCAATAGGTTCTTAACACTCACTGGACAACTTCTACTGCAAGTCATCTCAACTAATGTGACAAAGAGGATGTGGGAACCTTCCAGTAGTCCAGGCTAGGAACCGCTGGACTCCTTCACCTGGGACAAAATTAAGCAGATCTCTCTTTCCACTGAAGCCCAGCATATAGTGTCGAGGGCCTCCAGTTCTAGAGCTGCTGACCAGGTACAGTGTCTGCCACAAATAACACGCACACAGAGGCAAATAGAAAATTCACCCAGGGGCTTTGTTCAAACAAAATAAACCTGCAACACTGGAGATGAAAGAGTAAGAGCTGCAGAATTGGAGACGTAGTCACTCTTGAGTTTGCCTGCACTTTTTTGTAGGTCATTTATAAGTACTTGAGGCTTGCACGTGCATCTTTTGCTACAGATAAATCAGCCTTGGTATTTCTGGGGAATTAATACCATTCTTGCCTTTTTGCTAAAACTGTGTGACAAAACCAGTTTAAATCCAGTCAAATAAAAACTCCTTTTTTGTTGGCTTTTTTTTTTTCTGTGGAGGTAAGTAACCAACCCACAGATCAACCAAAGCACTTCATCAGTGCTACAGGGCCAGCTGTCTCATACATGGCAAGAGTGGCCACTCTGAACATCTTCAGTAGAGAACATGGCCCAATCTGTTTCCTCAAGGTTATTTATGTATTTTTATATATATATTTACATATAACACAAAAATGGGTAATTCAAACTAATGTCAGCTAAAATGGGCCCATCTTAAAGGCATTGAATAGAAGTATATTAATTGTTCTGGCTCATGGGAAAATATGAAAAATAAACACTCCTTTAATAGTGTAATTAGTATCTTCAAATTTGATTAGGTAATAATCAGGATAAAAAGGCTGCCTTTGTAATATTGATGGCTTTACGATACATTCAGGTAAAACTTCTGCAGCTCTTCCTTTTCCTCAGTGTTGCAGGTTAACATATTCAAAGAAATAAAAATCATGTTTGAATGGTAATTTAAAAAACCACAATACCAAACCCCACTACTTTTTAAATTTAGTTATTTTAAAACAACTTTCACCATTTCCTAAGCACAGTAAGATTACAGGAGCACCTTTCAAACATAGACACTTCAGTTAATACCTGGCTATGTTTTAATAAAATGGCTATTCCAGAAGTGAGTGGCCAATGTTATTAGAGTTGGATGAACTGAATGTGGAGGTTGATGGAAAGGCTCCTTCTTGTCTTCTCCGAGTAGTGGATTACAGTGAACAGAAGCAGTAGCAGTACCTTGTAGGACAGCACTAGGCCAGGAGAGGGTTTGTCTTACATTTCTCCAGATAGATGCTCAAATTTCCTGAAGCATACAATTCACTTTCTTATTTCTGTCCTTGTCAAGCAAAGCTGTTCAGCCTCTATAATTCAGATTTTATAGCTGGTCCAAAATATCAGAAAATTCTGTCCATCTGTGTTAACAGCTCTCCCATGGATAATGACCTATTTGTTGGACAGCTTCTTTTGATGTGTCCTATGCCTAAATTTAGCAGTGATATAAAAGTGACTGGATATATTTAAATATGTGGAAGCAAATTAAAATACATTTAAGAGATATCAAACACCATATTTTAAGGCTCAGGCCTATCTCTAAGCTGTTAATGATTAGAAAGGATTTAGGTGGAGGACAGATTATCCCAGATCTGCCTACAGTAAGTTTCTTACGCTTTTGTGTGAAAAAAACAGGTACACATCACTGTCAGAGGGGATACTGGGTCACTACTGTACTCCAACAGCACTAGTGAACCTCATGCCAGACATAGCTAGGTGCTCCAACAAGGCACATCTCTAGTCCTATTAAATTTGTGCCATTATATAAGGTTTTTATCCTTCAAATAGTAATATAGACAATGTGTCAAACTATATCCATGTAATTTTGGCTACAGGGATTTGTCCCAGGACTTACATTCCTTCAAACACCCAGGCACACAGTTTCAAGGCTGGTCTTGTGCTAGTAAAGACCCGGACATTCTGAACATACACTGGGTTTTTTTTGCAGATACAGTGAAAGAAGTGAACCTGGTGGGGTTATCTACTGAAACAAGACTAACTTCTTATTTTCCACTTCATCAGCTATGGCTGGGTTTCACAAGGAGGTCAGTCTTGGGGAGCATCCAGCATAACCCAGTTACCCAGTGTTACACAACCAGCCACATTTTCAAGATACTTCAGCAACAGCTTCACTGTCACATCTAGAATAGCCACAATTATTCAGAAATTTTTCTGGCAAACTGAATCAGTTTGGAAGTAGGCTTCTAACAAGGATACATACCAAGCATTGAAATTTTATGTAATTTTCAAAACAGCAGCAACAACAAAAACATCCACACCAAGCGGTCAGCATAATATTGAATTATTCTAACAACAGATATGCAAAAAGTTTTATTTGTTCAAAAATCCACACTTGCCTTTGCACACTGTTACTCCACTCTGCTTTACAGCTTGATTTTCAGCTGGGCAACCAATCAAGAGCCATGGGCCTACGGGCTCCTGCAAGAGCTTGCCGGTGCTCAGCCTACCTGAGAAACACTGAGTACTTGCCAGAGTGTGGCCCTGGCAGATGTTTGGCAATGCTTTTGCTCTCTATTCTGCTTGACCTCAAGCTTTTTTAATGAATCAGGTTTGTCCAGTATCTTGGTAACTGTAATGTAAATTTGCTGGCATTTGCATTATATTTCATTAAGCAGTACCAGTTAGTTAAATAATATAAAAAAAATATATACTATAAACAGTTGAAAAACACTCAACTTGCTGTACAACTTGTCTGTCAGAAAATGTTATCCATTTCTCTAAGTCTCACATATGAAATGCTACAACCAGAAATCATTTTCAGAATAACAGAATAGTATACCAAGTACAGTTCCCAATCCTTCTCCTCAAGGAGCTGCTCTGGCACTGAACAGAGGTCACTTCAACAAGCCAAACCAAGAGCTACCCTACTAACAAAGGAGCAGGGAGAGGGACAAATATAACAGATCTTCATGTTAATGAAAGGTCCTGGTCCAGGGAAGTACGTAAGACTGTATTTACATGTCTTATTAAAATTGGGCTTTTAGGAAAATGTATTTGCAAGGAGGCTCTTGAGTAAAAAGCACATGTGCTCTACTGATGAGTTCATGAGTTTAACTAACTCACCCCATAGGTCAAAAGTGACTCTGGACTTCTTTACCACATCATTTTTTTTTTTAAAGGTTTCCAGTATAAAATAAAAAGGGCTATAATAGGAAAATGTGCTAAATAGATTTAATTCCCCTTAAGGGCTGCAAAACTTTTTTCCCTGATACCTTATCTTGTACCAGGTAAGGGGAAAGATTCATATCCATCACAGTACTGTAACAGTCAGTTTACTGGTCCTGCTAAGAAATAATTGAGTCTAAATACATTCATCTAGCAGGTAAAGTGCAGGACTGTATTAATTTGTTGCTTAAGAAAAGTAGCTTGAGAATACAGTATCACTTCAGTCCCTAGAGTGGTTGTTGGTTTCAAGTCCTTCTTGGAGAGAAAACTTACATAGTTTCTGTTCTTCTGAAAATGACCTCAGTCATTTTGCCAGCACTTGCACCAGCACTGGGACAGGACGTTTTGTTTTGTTTTGTTTGTGGTTTGTGGGTTTTTTGTGTGGTTTTGGTGGTTTGCTGGGGTTTGGTTTTGTTTTGGGTTTTGTTAGTTTGGGTTTTGTTTTGTTTGTTTGTTTTGGGATTTTTTTTGTTTGTTTGGTTTGGTTTGTTCGGTTTTGGTTTTTTTGGTTTTTAGTTGGGCTTGTTTTGGGGTAGGGAGTTAGGTTGGGGTTTTTTTCTTGTTTGGTTTTTTAAGACTGGCTAAACTGACTCTTTAAATTGTAACCTATGTCTAAAGTAACTCTTGTGACGGAACTCAGATGGAGACCTCTATCTCCCTTCTCAAAGGAGCTCTCTATAAGCTCCAGTTGCTGGAACTGGAATTTCAGATGTGCTTTGTCCCTAAACACATATACAAGAACCTGTTTAACAGCCAGGACTAAGGAGTCTAAAAGATCTGGTGCCAGCTTTACCACAGCCTTGCCACAGACAACTTTGTTTCCTCTTCCCTGCTTTTTATCCTGTCACACTCAGCTACTCTTGTGATTCTGTGCAGAATCAATATCAATTGTACTAATTTTGGCTTATGTTCCTCCTCCAGAAGGAGGTTAGAAAAGGGAATGTTTCTTTTGACACTGTTGCTTTTAACCCATAAGAGTAACAGTTAAAAAAAACAAAGCAAAACCCCCAGAAAACCAACATCAAAACTCCCCAAACTACCCCCCCCCCTCCAGGTTCCTCACACAGGACTTATGCTCCTTGCAAATCTAAACCACTTGTTACTAACTTCATACACACTCTCCTTGACAGAATCACATTAGGATGAATTCATTTATGATTATGTTAACACCCAGATGAATAACTACCCCAGTAAATTTGATACAGACTTTTATAGCTTTTTCATTTTAAAGAGGTAAAACATAATTGTTTCATTTTGCAGTAAGCAGTCAGAGCAAGAGCTTACGTTAAATAAAACTGTTTTCAAGCATTTTCCTGGACATTTTACTATAAAACTACTGAGCAAATAAGAAAAACTTTTTGCTCCACACCATACAAGTAGAGTATTTTTTACTTACCATCAGGAGACAGATGAGCATGCCTTTCATATGCTTTATTTATTTCTAGAAAAGCTTTGTTAAGAACATTTTCCAAGTTCTCCTCCTCAGCAAGAAATTCTCTGGAAACAAACAAGTGAAAATAAGATTAAGCTTCTTTCCAATACATCTTTCTTGGTCAATCCTTTCCATAGCCTTATCTCCTCCGTGCATGCACTGAGTACTGCTGAACTTCAGTGAAGGGTTAACAGACCTGCACTGGAAGCATAATTCTGTAATTTCAAAAATACATAAATTCTTCTTCCAACACTCAGGTATGTGACATGCAGATACAGAAAGAGTGCATGCAAGAAGTGGGTCAGCAATCACAGTGCCCCCATCTGCAAACAGTCAGTTCACACTCTCCCTGCATTCCCAGTTCTTTCCTGGAAGGTGAGTACAATCGTATTTTCCCCTCTTGTCTTTGCGGGCTTGCTCAACGGGGCAGGCACCATACAAAATAAGTAGTTCATAACATGTCTGTTGTAATGGGCTGTTCCAGTCCTATGTTCCTGCTGTGGCATTGGGTTAGGTGGTTCTATAACCTGAGGAGAATTAGTAACAATGCATGATGCAGTGGTTGCCCTTCAGTCCTAAGGAAGGAATCTTTAACGTAATTCATTTTACATGTATTCACTTGATGCACACTTACTTAATATATTTTTCCATGTATTTATCACAGAAATCAGCTGCTGCTGCCCCACCATGTCCATCATATACTGCAAAGTACAGGACATCCTTTGTCAGCTCAGCATAATGAAACCGGTCTTCATTTTCCTTGCGTTTCCCAATATGGCTACTGCAGGCCACATTGGCCAGGCTTACTTTTGGAATTGGCTTCCCATACTTTATGCTTGGTGGGAGGAGAATAGGTTCATCAATGCGATTGTCCCAGATGCCAAAGGTATCCCATGTGGTAGGTCGCCCACTCCCATCTGTATCGAAGCGGGAAGCACGACGCTCAGAGGTGGAGCTGTAGCAGGCAGTTGTTGGACGCTTCTCGTCTTGCAAGAGGCGGGATGTCAGCACAGCTCTCCTTACTTGATATCCTCCATTCCGTACCAAATTAATCAATGTAGTTGTTGACATAACTTGTCTTTGCAGAGATTTGTAGGAATAAAAGATCTGCAGCTGCTGGAATATCTTCTAAAACAAAGAGAAAACTGATCAGGAAACAAGAAGCACGGAACAAGAATTTTCAGTTACATCATTCAGGAAACAATGTCACCCTTGGAGCCTGTTAATAGTGCATAGCACGGCACTGCCTAGAAGAAACTAGAGCTATCCGTATGACTCACTGAGAAACAATCCCACACAGCCCAGCCCACATCTAACGGGGAGTACTGCAGACAGATCGAGGTATGACATTTCTGCTGGCCACCCGCAGAAAGATAACCTGCATTTTCAAATGTTGAAGGGGTTGTGATGGAACAAATGAGAGTGATAATGACTTTGCTGCATGTCAGCTAAAATATGAGTATGTAAAAATATGAGATAAGGTTGTGAAAATGAGCTTATCATTCATGCTCTTCAGACAATAGCTGAAACATCTGCACTGTGGCTTCCCAGGGTGAAAGGAAGGAGAAATATCTTTGCTTAAAGAGGTTTTTTTTTTTTCATTTGCACATGCTATTCAGTTCTGTGCTCTTCAACAGAGCTCAAAGCTCACTGCTTTACATGCTCTTGGTTTACCTTTCATGCAATATTAGATGAAGAAATGTTTCTTTACTTAGCACTTACAGAGTAACTGTCAAGTTGATAAAAGGCCAGATGTGCTGAGAATCCTTGTTATTGCACCAAACAAATACGGGCTAAGCTACCAGGTGAATGGAACTGACCACTTGGAATTTGAACATTTTCCATTTTACTAAGGGGTGACATAAACATCAGATCCCCATTTCAGTATACTTACAGGTATTTTAAAACTTGTTTATTTCCTTGAGTTGCTTTTTCTTTTCTGTTACCCTTGACTGGTAACAACAGTATGTTAACTTCCTTCTGTGCAACACAGCGCGACCAGATTGAAAGCCTGCCAATTAACAAAACCCGCACGTGATTTCATTTCTGTCAGCTTGAAAGCAGAACATGAAACGTTAGGTATCTTTTCCCAGTATCCACAGCATGAATCTGAAGATTAATCCAAAATTCCAAGATAATTAATGTATTTGTTCCCTATCAAATTCAACTCTCAAAAGGCCTTTTTTTTTTTTTTCCAGACAAGCATAAGGACTGATGGTGGTTTTGCTTTTCAAGTGCCTCTGCAAGTCATGAGTAGGAAGCTGATCTTTAGTTTCTGTGATGTAAATGGTTGTGCTTCCAGCAGGACATAAGACAGCCTGTGCTTTCCTAACTGATACATTTGCAAATGAAGGGCAAGTCTATCTTGGGAAAACAAGCCCAAGGTATTGGAGAGGGGGCCACTGGTGTTAAAGCCAAAGTCCAAGACAGACATTTGGAGGTGATATCTGTCTTGAGGTGCTCCATCTGATCCTGTTAATCTGTACAGATTTAGTTTTCTTAATTTAAAGAAATAGTTCCTGCAGTGAGATGGTAAAATTCAATGCTTAAAGCAAATGAAGCAAGTGACTAAACTGCAGGCCAATGTGCATGGTGCCCTTTTTACAGTCTGGCTGCTATTTGACAGATGGAAATTTCCCAGGCTGCAAGAAGGGGGTGAGGGAAATAGAAAAAACCCGGAAGAAAGAGAAGGCATGCCTGCTGCCCCGGGGGATTAGATGTATTCTAAAAAGGAATTTTAAACTCTGAGCACGTATAACTGCTCTTGCCCTGTATGCTTTCCAAGCCCCACAGATGTGGGTAGTACTGATATCTCTGTATGTTAAGCTTGTCTTAAATCAGAGGGTTTTTTTAAATCAGTGACAATATTATCTCACCTGCCGCCTGACTAATAAACTGCAGAGGCTGCAGCCGTTTAAAGAGGTCTCTCCTGCTATTTCCTAATTACGAGTTAGCACCCCATCAGCTGACTAGGGCCGGCCTGGCAGCGCTGTTCACACCCCCGAGGAAGGGCTGCTGTGACACCAGCGGCACAGCTCTCTAACGCCGCCCTACCGCCCCGGGAGCGCTGCCTGTGCTGTCCCAGGACTGCAGTGAGGGGCTCCGCAGAGCCGGGAGGGCAGCGCCGAGGCTGCTCCTCGCTGCCCCCCCGCCGGCCTTTCTGCACGGCAGGTGGTGTCCATCACTTCACTCTCTCCCGCCTGGCTGCCGGCCGCCCCTACCAAGGCTCCTGAGGCTGCACCTGCCGCCGCCGGGAGGGACCTGTGTCGGTAAGCCGGAGCGGAGCACGCCTCCTTCCCAAGGTATGCCCAGGCCCGCGCTGCCCAGCTCACCCCCCCCACCGAAAGTGGCGAGCGGAGGGAGCCGTTTCCCAGCCCTGGGTCCCCGCCCCGCTCCCCTCAGTGGCCGGGGGCACTTTCCCGCGCGCTCCCCTCCCTTACCGCAGCCCCTGAGCCGTGCAGAAGCTAAACGTTGGCGCGGCCGCCGGGCTGCTCCGGGGGTGCGGCGGCCCCTACCTCCTTCCGCGCCCCGACAGCCGGCGGCGAGCTGTGCCCCAGCGGTGCGAGAGCGGAGCGGACACAGCTGGCCGCCGCCCGCTGGCTGCTCCCGCGGCCCCGCCCCGCCGGCTGGCAGGGCCAATCTGGCGGTTCCTGGGGCCGTGCCGCCTCGGCCCTGCCCTCTTCGCCGCTCCCAATGGCAGCAACCGCGGCGGCCGAGCCTCCCCCCGCGCCCCCGCCCCGCCCGCCGCCCTGCCGGCCGTTGGCCCCACCTGGCTCGCGGGAGGGTCGGTCCTTGAGGCGGCTCGTGCCGGGCCGTTACGAAGGCCCCGCCGCTGCCTCCTCGTAGAGCGCTGACCCGGCGGCGTCCTCGCCCCGCCGAGCCGATGCCCGCCGGGTGGAAAGCCCAGCCGCGAGGACAGCAGGCCGTGCTGCAGCTGCCGCGGGAGGGCTGCTCTGGAGGGCCTTGTGGAGAAGTGCTATGTCGTTAAGGGGAAACATGGCGACAGGTTTAAAATGCATCCGAGCGTGCTGCTCCGAGGCGGCTGCTGCTATGAAAAATCCCTACCGCCTTCTCCTGACTTGCTCGTGTCCAAGTGTCAGTTTGAAGAGGTCATTTTGCAGCCTTGGACCTTTGGTGCAGTCTGGTAAATGATATGGCTCTGATTACAAAAGCCTCTGAAGCACACCTTCGCACTGGCCTCATGCTGTCCACTAGAGACAAGGGTACTTGAAAACAGAAAACAGAGGAGAAAAAAGCCGCTGCTGCGGTTTCCATAGGAGCTTAAGGAGGTCACTGCCAAGTTTATCCTACATGTTCATCAGGTAAAGGAAGAATTTTTTGGGTCTTTCTTTTTAATTTCAAGAGCATTCTGTCTTCTTTCAGTTGTGACTGACTTTGACCTCATAAAAATCATGTTAAAATGTAATAACCTGACATGCAAATTTACAAACCGATGACTTCAATTTCCCAAATAAGGATTTCACAAAGGCTTCATCAGTATTTCAGGAAACCAAGTTCTTTCGTCTCCTGACCATGAGCACAGCTTCTTAAAAAGTGGCACCTGTGGATCTTTGTCTAGTGCTGTTCCTAGGTGACGTTCTTACAACGCTGCCTTTAATATTTATCATCTGCCTAATGACACAGTAATGTCACCTTACTGTGTTCTGAACAAAGCTTAGTGATAGCCTTGGCTGCAGTGAGCATAATATTGTGGAGTTTGGGATCCAGCTGAGTGCAATGAATGTTAGTACTAAGACAAAGGTTTTCGATTTCAGAAGAGCAAACTTCAGCTCACTCAGAACCCAGCTGGGAGTTTTCAGTGAGATCAATCAGCCTTAGGAATAATCTCCCCAGGGTAGTGGTGGACGCCACAGTGTTGGATGCTTTTAAGATTCAGATGGACTGGATGCTGGGACATCTTTTCTAGGTCTTGAAAAGTTGGACATGATCTTTGAGGTCCATTCCAACCTGGTGTTCTATGAAATGATCTCTTTGAAAAATGAAATTATGTCAGCTGTCTCCCTGCTCTATTAAGTAGGGGACAGTTAAGCAGTTCTGAACAATGTGCCTTGACTGCCAAATCCATTGGCTTCTGGACAGAAAACAGCAAGAAAACCCCTTATAACTCTCACAGTAGAGGTCTACTTGTAGAAGAAGGGATTAGGTAAGCATGGTAGCACCTACTAGATTGTTCTGGTTTCCATATCTATGGTGTCCCACTCAGAATTTAGAATTAAATTTAACCCTGTGAAACTTAATGGGGATAGTAAACACTACCATCTATCGCTGCAGGTTGTTCCCTGGTTCCCATGTGTTCTCAGTGAGACAAAGGAAAAACAACCTTCTGTGGAAACCAGCTCTCCTGGCATCTGGAGGAAGTGTCAGGGACCTATATAACATTAGGCACAAGAGCTGAGAGACAATTTCTGCCCTTGAAAGTTTGCTATGAAGGCCATCAGAGAGATCATAATTGTTTCATGCTGAGCCTTTATGTGCAGTGGAACTACTCTTACATTTACAGGGTTTTGAAAGCTACGTGGGAGGCAGCTGAAGAGGCAGCAGCAGGAATTTGAGGCGGCAGGAAGAAAGAGGCAGCAGGTGTGATAAGAGCATTGTGAGAAGGCAGCAGACCTGAAGACGAGACCAGAGCAGAATGGTGAGGATGCCTGGGGTAATAGGCGGGGGCAGAATATGGGAGGATAGGCTACAGCACAGTGCTTGGTACTTTGAGAGGCCTCTGACAGCACTCAGAGAACAGAAGGCAAAAAAAAAAAGAAATTAAGGAACAGGAACTATGTATTTTGAACAACATATTTTGTACTATGAAACATTTGGTTTTGACTGCAGCTAATTCGGATTTTCCCCTTCCTTTGTTTTTTTTCCTTTCTAAAGGATGAGTTTTCTATATTTCAGCTCTCCTAACAAGGAATTTCTGCTCCTTCAAGATTACCTTTCTTGCTCTTAGTGCCTTTGGTTTTCCTTCTCCATCTTGTTCCTGGCCTTTCCCTCCCTTGCCACTTTTCTGCTTTATTTTGTTCTCCTTTTCTTTTACAATTTGCACATATTATTTTGGGGATTATTTCTCTCCTGCTACTTTTCTTCAGTTTTTTACTTAGCTTTCTTTCCTGTGTGCTTCCATGTCTCATGTGACTGGAAAACAATCTGTGGGGAGCAGGGGGAGTTGGTTGTCAGTGTGCTAGCATACCGTCCTTCCCAGAACTGTAACTGAACACAGCAGCTGTGGATGGGAAAGAAGTGTCCATTGTATCCTCTATGTATCAGATCTCAAATCAAGCTAGAAATGCAAACTGTTTCTGAACACTGTTTTTCTCATTAGCAAGATGTGCATTGCAATGCTTGACATTGACAAGTGGGAGAAATTACTTGTCCACCATGCTTTCTATCCTCATAAGTGAAGAACTGTTCTCTATGGTATGCCCCTAGCTAATTATCAGTCTGTACTCTCTAGGTTTGCTAGCAGATAAGAAGACACCAGAAAGCATCCTGTGATTGTGGCAAAGGGAAGTAGCCACCTTCTTCACACTGACCTTCAAATAATTGGCAATGGCTATCAATTTGCGTGGCACTTTTCAAAGGCAGCCCTTCAAGATCAGGTGAGCTAATGTGCATGGCTGCTCTCAGACCCTAAGTGCACCAAGAAGCTCCACAGGCAGCATCCCTGCCATGGGCATTTGGCTGCTTGTGCTTGCTGCCATCCCTGGGGTGTCCCAGCTGTCAGCACGGACCTTGGTGCTGGGAAAGGAACTGTGGAAAACCTTATTGGGAAGCCCAATTTAAGCTCAAGGCCTTGCCCAGACTATACTGTAGGTATGCCCATGCCTGGCTGTGTAGCTTACTGATCCTCTGCTTCCCTGGCTAATGTAACTTCCCAGCTTGACCTTGAACCTGTCTTGGCTCTGAGGTCAGGCTTGGTGGTCCTTGGACTGAGACTGACTCCGGTTGCTGTCCCCAGCTGGTCTTGCTCTCACTGAGTGCTGTGGGGCTCTCAATGAGGTCTCTGCCTTCCACACTGTCACCCTTATACCCAGCTTTCCTGTGCTGGTGGAGCAGCCAGGCTTCTCCTTGCTAACAAAGACTGCACACAGTCCTCAGGGTGTGGGTGAAAAGTAGCTTCTTTCTTTCAGGGAAAAGTGCTTTTTGGCACTCTTGTTAGGTATTGCCCTTATTTAATAGTAATGTTAACACTGAAACATGACTAAGAAAGTTAATAAGCATTCTGATTAGAAACAGGAAATACAAAATATTATTTTTGGCACTGTTCAAATGGCATGCAATGCCTAATTCTCACGCTTGTGCTCTGTATGGTTGATGTGACATCCCCATCTGCTTAGACCTTAGAACATGATAGTCTTGTTTTCTTTGATTATTTTACTCAAATGTTGCTGTCTTTTGGGCACCCATGACTTACACAGAGACAGAAGGCATTCCAAAACAGGATGGTTATGGTGCAACTTGAGCAGATTCACAGAAATACTCAGATCAAACTGCTGGCTCTAAACCAGTTCTCATTCATAGGAGAGACAGGAGTCAGCTGCACATCTGTTGCCACAGAACTCCTCTCAATTCAAATGATATATGACTTGCTTCTGTCCTGGTAAGGGGGCAAATAAACTCCTGTATCTAAAGACTGTACACTTTCTGGGAAGGTCAGGGCAAAAGTGTGCCCAGAGCATTAGCTGTCATCATTGAAACAAAAGTCAGGTTTCTGTATCTAGTGATCCCAGGGGTGGTGGATTAATCTTGGTTGGCCGCCAGGCACCCACCAAGCCACTCTTATCACCCCTCCTCAGTGAGCAGTGCCAGCACTGCTTAGCAGTAGCCAGAATGTCACTCTAGCTACCAATACAAAACACAGCACTATGAGGCCTGCTGTGGGGAAAGTTCACTGCATCCCAGCCAGACCCAATACACCTTAAAGTAACATAATGGTTGTTTTGTTTATCCTGAAATTTTAAATGGCTTTTGAATATTCAGATGGTTTATCTGAAAACAGAAAAAAAGGGGGGGGTTGATGAGTTTTTTGTGCTCCTAGTGAACAATCTGTCCTCTTAAATGCAGGAAAAAGTGAGTTAGAATGGAATGTTCTTAGCCCTTCACGCTGTGTTTGGCATTCTCTATTTACAGCATTTTAGCTGTACAAATAAAATTTGACCTTGAACTACTATGAAGTATTCTAAGTCAGAAATTGTGATACTTCAAAACATTAGGATGTCAGACATGGTAACTTTGTATTAGAAATATGTAGTTTAAAAACATGATCTCTGGAATGGTAGCTCAATAACGTGGCTGATTTTGCTTCAGTTATGTGACTTCAGTTTTACAGAGATAATTTCCAGGATCAGAATTGAGTCGTGTGTCTGATGAGAGGAACCACAAGCATATTTCTATCAAATGATTAGAGGATATTCCTAATGACCTTCAAAGAGCTGTTGTAATTTGACAGCAGGAAATCATCTGGCTTTTGAATACGTGGCAAATATTTTACAGCAGGCGTTCAAGTGGTTTCCTTAGAAACCACTCTTCATAAGAGGTCGACACACGCTATTAAGTATCGTGCTGGGTTCAGGTCATCTTTGCAATATTAAAGACACTTGTTTAAAACACTGCCAAGTCATGTGCTGCCCGACAGCCCCGCAGCGCAGAAAGCAGCTCACTCCCTGCCAGACTCTTTTCCAGCCAAGCAAGGACACACCTCTTGGTAGTGAGCTAGCATAGGCGCCCTGATGGGTGGAGGAACTGGCCCCGCTCACTATTGGCTGCTCTCTCATCCAGCAGCTGTGAGGAATAGCGATTTTATTTACTCATTCATCTACCTCTCCATCTCTTGCCCTAAGAAAATGCTAGTGACTCGTGATTCCCTTTTAAAGAGTATCAAGGGCAGCTCTTAACTATGCAGAGGTCATACTCTTTTTGTTGATTTTTTTTTTAATCTCAAACGAATGGGGCATCAGATAATTTATTCTTCAATCCCATATTCAATGTTTATGATAAACAGGAAAGTAAAGCCATTAGCAGGGTTAATGGTGGAGAATCTGGGAGGTGTCATTAATATAAGGAAGCACCTCTTCTGCTCTCCTCCAAAGCTTTACAGTTATTTATTCTGATTTGGATCTCCTTCCCTATTTGCTATAGATATGTGGGATTTAAGGCAGCTTTAGCAGAACTGATCTGAAAATCTTACAGAAAACAAATGCTGCTCAGGACAAATATGTTCAGTGGCGATCCTAATGGAGGGAATTTGCCTGGTGTTTGTTATCAGCCCTGTGAAGAGCCTGATTGGACGGATGCCCCAGCAGTGCTGGAGTCTCTGCTGTCAGACTTCTCTGTTTCTGGCTGGAAGGTCAGAGCTTGTTCCTGCTGACATATGGTAAGAAGGCATAAGAGTCATTTTCTCCTGGTGACGTCTTACTTGGTATGATGACGTACCAAGGTCTTTGTTACCTTGGTACGTGGTTGCTGCAAAGCCTCTGTGAGGATTCTCTCTAGAACATCAGAGGCACAGGGGCAGACCTAGCACAGCAAGTGCAAGCTGCCTCCTATGCCCTCAGCACATACAGCGCTGAGTAAAGTGAGTTCTTTAGCTTTAGCCTGACACTCAGGAGGTCTGGGTTTCTGCATGTGGTGGGAAATGCCAAGTGTTATTGATAGACTACTAAATGAACTAATGACAGTGTTGATGTAAGAGACAGGCAGCTTTTCTGGCTTCTCTGCCTGAGCTAAAATTGGAGCAAGTATTCAAGGGGGAAGAAGAGGGAGTGGGACTGCCAGTGCCCACACCTCTGGCAATCACTGCATTGTTAGTCTGAAATAGCCCATGTTTGTTTACCTTCAAGGCTGGGCTGTGGTGGCCTTTTTTGGGTGACTTGTAAAACAGGGTGATAAAGTGAGGTGATACCTGGCAAGCATTCTTTAGGAGTTTGGATATTCTGATAAAAGAATCATGGAACGGTTTGGGTTGCAAGGGAGCTTCATGATCATCTAGTTCCAAGCCCCTGCCATGGGCAGGGCCACCTTCCACTAGACCAGATTGCTCAAAGTCACCGATACTTGTGTTTATTTAGATAAGCTTGCTCTGTAGAACTATCTTCTTGCTTGGCCATGCTTTTCTTTCTGTAACTCTCAAGAGAAAGGCTTTTCTAGAATTTACACAGGAAAAGAGAACACTTTTTGAAATGGTTGCTCCTTTGTGGTTTTGAAGGCAGAAAACAGAAATTTCTGAAGGTAGAAATCATGCAGAAGTCAGCTCATGTATGACCCAGTCTGTGTCATTATTGTCCTTAACAGCAGTTTCTATTCCCTGTTGATGCTGTGCTTATCTTTGCTTAGTTGTTGTTAATACAGGCACTGACTACTAAGACATAAAGGGTTACTGCTTCGTCTTAAGAGCAAATAGGATCAATAGCATAATAAGCATTCAGCACTATAAATCCATGCCTCTTGTTTAAGACAAAACCCAAGGCAATAACCAAGTTACAAACATGTTTATAAAACCCCAAAAAGCACAGAGCCTGCATGCAAAGTGAAATCCTGTAGCATCATTTTGTAATGTAGAAGACTTCATGAAATCTTGTGTTTACAAGTGAACTCTCAGCTTACAGAGTGACACAAAGCATACAGAAACTTCCAGGAATCTTTGCCTAGTGGGACTGCATTGGGTCCACAGGAAGATGTTTGTGTTCAAAATCATGTTTGGCATTGAACAAAAGCTTCAGCAGTGTGTAATCTTTGTTCGGTTTTGGCAGGAGAATGTCACGTAGACACACCGTGTGTAAGCAACGCACCGCCACATTCTATGTGTGATCTTCGCCTATCTTGCCATCTACCTTCTGTACAGGCCTACTATAGTTAGTGCAAATCTGGGGTGCAGCACAGCTGCTGTGATCCTGCACATGCAGGCTGTTCACTGCTGACCTCTTCTGCCATTTTTGGTTACTTTAAAACTCAGATCAGTTTAGTGCATGAATTATTACCCTTGGAGGACAGTATGGATGGCAGGGACAAACAGGTGGATGCACATGGAAAAAGGATGGGAAAACAACCAGAACTGATTCTACTGCTGAGAGAATATTTATGGGGAATTGCACTTTTTACTGTTTAAGGTAAGATGCACAAACTGGTTATTTTGCCAGTTCAGTTGCAATTTTGAGTTCTTTTTCTAGGATATCAGAGGTGTGAAGTGTTAACTTAAAGCTTTTTCAATGAGATGACCCAATCCTGTGGCTGAGTCCTTTATTTCATAGTCATGGCATGAATCTTCATCTGAGAAGTGGCAGCAAGAAGACCTCTCAGCACCAGAGGGAGTGTTGCAAGGGTGATCACAGGAGCAGTTGTGATGAGTTCAGCAGAGGCTGGACTAGCTTCTAGGCTAGCTGCCAAGTGGGGTACCAGTACATGAACAGTGTAATGCTGAGCAGCCAGCTTGTTGCTGCATCGCACATAACTCCATATATTGTCAGTATTGTATATAGCAAATATGAAGCTTTGCAGAATGTGTGGGCTCCTTCCTTACCATTGTATGTTTCCTTCAAGAACTGAGGAGGGTTCTAGGATTGACCTGTATGATATGTACAGCTGCACTCTGTTTGGGCTGCTGGGCGCACAAGCATTAGTGCTGATCCTTTCCTGGTGCACAGTGACACAAAAGTGTTCCAGCCTTCTCCAACTGCAGCAGCCAAACACTTTCCTGTTAGAAAGGCATGAGAAAAAAAAACCACAAAAAAAACCCAAAAAGGACAAAAAGGAGCTGCTCTTGTCCTGATGTGTGACACTGAGAAGGCATTAGCTTGGGATTTATCCAAGTGGCCTTCCATGCAGTGCTGGACAGTGGTGTTCCAGGTCTTCAAGGTGGTACGGTAGTTGTAGTAAGTAACAATGGTTGTTACAGGCAAATAAATTCCTGAAAATGTTTTGAAGCTGGAAGGATGTGCTGATGGCTACACCAAGTCAACAACCCCATGCAGTTAGGTACTTTTCTAAGGAAACATTTCACTGTTTTCAGGAGATGAGTTTCATCTTCCAAATATCTCTTCAGCTTCAGGTTCAAATCCCCCACTAACGCAACAGAGCACACAGCTCAGCTGAAATCAACAGGACTCCATACCCTTCTCTCTGCAGTAAATTAATCCTGCTTATCCTTTTGCACCTGATCTGTTCAGCACAAAGAGCCAAATTATATTGTCAGTATTTGAAGAAAAAGGCCTGTTTAGTTTTCAAGGCAACACAATACAGGGAGAAGAAAGAGATATTTGTGTTTAGCTTCCTTCAATGAGTGGTTACATTGTTAAATATCATGCTGTGCTTACTCTTCTTGCATCTACTCACCTGAGCAGGATCAACTATCTAGGATGATGTTTGGATATTTTCAAGGCCAAGTTGGAGGGTAATTCACAAGCCAGTTTTGAAAACAGTTGCACATCTGATAATATCGATGACAACAAAAAAGAAGAATGGCTCCTTAATTCTTTGCTCTACTGTGATTTTTTGCATCTAGCTAACGGAATGCCAATTTCAAGGAGGTAAGCATATCCTGATTCAGTTTGTCACCTACCTGTATTCTAAACCTGGGCAAGCCTGGCTCAGTATCACGCAATACCAACTGGTATTCAGACCACACAGGAACATTCAACGTTTGCACAAACTACATTCAAAATATTTGAGAAAGTTATACAAAATATTATCCTTATTTCTTACTGGAATTTCTAAAACATCTGACTAGAAACAACATCAGGGAGATGGAAATTAACAGGACTCCTGCAAGCCATGCACAGTAAAATGTTACTTCATGCAGACCATATGATACATTTTTCTTTTAGTGAATGCTTCGATGTTGTAAGGTTAGAATAAAGAAAAGGCAGAGTCCCCAGTAGAGCTCAATATATGTCATCATCAGCAAATTTAATTTGTTTATCTCAAAGGGCAAGGTAATGCACGTAAGTAATTCTGTAGTGCAGCAAAGTTGGATTTCACAGACCTCAGTCTTTGACAGTAAGAAATCAGTAAGCTGGACAGTTGGCCCAGCTCCTTCTTGCGCACTCTCCCAACATGTATAAATCAGGGAGGAGTAGGTATCTTACAGGTA